TCTTAAATAAGTAAAATGAGTGCTTTGAAATAAGCTGTGACTGTTAATATGTAGCACTGGATGAAAAACCCAGTAAGTGAGCCAAAATGTTTCTCTGGATTAGTAGGTTATAACAAGAAGAAGAAACCGGGCAAAGCAACATGCAGTTCTTTACCTGTTTGGAAAACTATCCTGTATCCAGATGTAGCCATCATTTTTCAAACCTGTGGAGGGAGTGATGGCATGCAGCAGTTGATACAGTCCTGAGTTCCAGAAAGATCCAGTACATCTCATTGGGAATATGCAAAGTTTTCTCATGGGATGCTGTTAGATGTAACATAAATTGTTCTGCAGGTTTTTTGAGCAGCACTGTTAATTTTGGACAGACCTCTACGGAAGTCCAGGCAAGTTTTGCTACTGTAAACATCTGTCTTTGCTCTGATTCTGATGTTTGCTAAGAAAGCAGATGTGCTCTGTTTTCAGTCTTTGATACCAGTTTTCATTTATCTGGATTGTAAGCAAAAAATCTTCTTTCATAATTAAGAAATATTTTCTGTTTTCTCTGACATGATTTACTTTAAGACCTGATAATATTTCCTTCATTTTTCTGTGGTCATTTCAAAAATAGAACAAAAGAAAGCCAAATGGAAAACCTATACTTAGCATTGGTCTAGTAGCAAGATGACAATGTGAGTTCTTACACAGGAAAAAATTAAGTTGTGAGATACAATACATGTGCAATCTTAGATGGAATAATCTATTTGTAGTTGAGTGGTCTAAAAATATGAAGGTGATCTTTAGACCTGTCGATGATAGCTAAAGTTTCAGTGGACTTTTTTGATGTGGAAGATAAAAAAAATAAGTCACAGGAATTAAAAAAAAAAGGTTAGGAAAGATTAGCAGTCTTTTCAAAAACCTGAAAAACAGGATAGGAGACATTTTGACTTCATTTACAATAAGGCAAAATGTTTCTAGCATCCATTCTTAATTTTATGTGATTAGTCCTTCTGTTGACTTTGAATTTTTTTTTTTTTTTTTACTCAGCATGCAGTTCCTAAGGCTTTTCCTAAACCAATTCCTAAGTAGAATAGATTTTGCCAATGATTGTGTTGTGATCACCCTTTTTCTACTGTTTTTTCACACATTTCCAGTGTGGTTTTTTATTGTTTTTCTGCTAACAATTGACTATAATAAATTTCTAGACTATACAAAAAATTATTTTTAAAATTACAGAGAAAATTATATTAAAACCACAGCAGAGAGAGTTATCTGAATTTCTCATCCCTCATTACTTTCCCTCTGTGTTGTCTGACATATTTATTTATCCTTGGATTCCATGTTCATCCTGTCACCCTAAGCACAATTTCACATAATGTGAGTATGAGTATCAGACTTGCAAAATAAAAAGCTGTCAGTGCATCAGTTCTGTTCTTTGAATTGCCTGGCTTTTATGATGTCACATAGGTATTGCATTTCATTTTGGGGAAATTTTCTTGTATTTTTGTCTTATTATTCTTCCTTAAATATAATGAATTTGGTGTAAAAACTCTGAAAAAGCCTCTCTGATAGTCAAGGCTATTTAAGTCATTTTTAGCAATATATTGGACTAATATAAAATATGGTAATTTATCTTGCTTGATTAGGATGTCTCTGTGATTTAAGAACATACTAAATTACAAGATTATGGATTTTTGACTGAAGAAATTGTCCTGTTTCATTTATCATTTCAATATAGATTTTTCTAAACTGTCCATGATTCAACCCATAAACCATAATGACTTATTGAATCTTTGTTACTGAACCAGCAGCCACTAAGTTAACTAATTTGTGTCACCTTTTGATTTTGAAGAATGAGCTGTTTGAGGTAAGTTAGAAACCAGGAATGCAACTATTATCTTTCAAATGGAATGTGAATCATAAATAAAATCTGTTTTATCAAAATAAAAAAAACTAAATAAGATTAAAAAGTAACTAGATTTTTGATTTTATAAAGGAGAATGCTATGCACTGTCTGCTTGTGATTAGCATTTTTATCTGTTCATCGTGTGTCTGTGCTAAGCATTTCTTTTCAGAAATGAAATTTCTGGAATTTCATAATTTCATGAAGTACTATATGTGCCAAGTCCCCATGTGCAGCTACACTGAGATACGGTCCAAAACTCTCAGTCATATATTATATTCATCCAATATTTCAGTTCATATATATGCATGAACTAATTTTGTGAGTTATAGTCCCTTTTCAGTAAATAAGTTTCTCTAAGCTTTTATAGGTCAAAGCTTTTTTAGAAGTCAGAACATCTCCCAGTAATAGAAATGTTTCAAAAATGTAATCTACTTTACCACAAAAGTGAAAATTTTCAACAGTTTCTCACTTTCATTGTATAAAAAATTGCAATATTTTATTTAATTTCACATGTTTAGTATGTTTAGATAAACTGAGATCACTTTAGGAACTTAAAAGTTATCCCAACTCTCAGAGTCATCTATTAATATAGTTATCAAGTATTTGTTTGGTTTTGCCTTGCTTTCCAGAATATAGCCTGTGCTATTTTAATCCACACATGTGAATATGCACATGCACTCAAACAAACTTGAAAATGTTCCTAATTATAATCATACAGCCTTTGCTTTACAGTTCCTCTCTGTGTTGAATAGTAGGTATTGACCCTGAAGGAGAAATGATTTTCTGTTAATAAAACTTTTGGTACAGCAGGTTGTCTGGAAAATCAATCTGATTTTTCCTCATGATCTACAGAGGCAAGAGACAAATATCTAAGGGAGCAATTGCCCTAAATTTCGTGCCTACTTTAGTATTAAGTGAATCAAATGTGGAATATCAATACATCTGCACAGCATGAGTGACTGTATCCTGTTATTGTGATGAATAGTAGATGTAGAAATATGAAAGAGAAAAACACTAAGAAGGGATTATGTACAGTGTTACAGAGATATTAAATATCATCAGGCAAGATGATATCTTACTGTGTGTCCAATTTAAAGTAAAGAAATCAAGATGAAACCAAATTAATTCAATTGAATTGGTTTTGAAGCACAGATGTCTCTATTCCTAGAAATTAGCGATTATGCATTTTCTTCAGTTATAGACAGAAAATGTGCCAAACTTCTGCACATAGTAGTACAATTTGTTTATGCTTACACACCTCTTCTGTGTAAATCCACCTCGGTCACTGAGATCTAGAGACTGCAATCGAGTCGGAGGGAAGAGGATCTTATTTATGGATAGCATATGAAACAGCAGAAATGAGAGAAATTTGAATAAACATTGAATTGAAATAATTTAAAACTTCTTTTACTTTACCAGGTAGTTGTTTGTTTGTTTGGTTTTTTTTTCCTTCTGAATTGTTCTTCATTCAGGAATGAATGAGATTTCAGAGAACATGTCTTCTTAGTTATTGCATGAAAATACAGTGTTTAGCATTCTTTTTGATGGTTGAATATTATGGTACAGATCTGTCTTCTTTTTGACTTTTATAAACTTGGTCACCAAACAAACAGATACTTCAACACATGTTCTTCATTGAACCTGAGACTATATGACAGTTTTAGTGTTTGATATTGACAAAATAATTAAGTACTGAGGTGTCACCGTAGTAAGAGAAAAATGGAGCTTCTCCCTGTCTCTGGTTATAGACCATAAAATATCCAATAAACTGTGACAGAGACTAGTAGTGTTGGTTTCATACAGGGGGATTTTGAAAAAGCTAATAATTTCCAGTGCGTAATGATAAAAAAACACAACGTACCCTGTCCCCCACCCCCAAAAAAAAATAAAAAAAACCAGATACACTATTATTTTAATGCGTATTCCATGAAGAAATTTTGCTGAAAATTCTCTGCCCAAAAGTACGGAAATAGCCTAGTGTAAATGTATTTTCAAAAGGTACACAGCATTTAAAATCTGGGAGGATAAATCATGCAGTAAAAACATTAATTTTAGGGACATGCATACCACTGGTGCACTAAACAAACTTGTTGCCTTTTTTACCTTTTGTTACGTAATTATTACCATTTTCCTTACATTATTATTACTGACATATAAGACAATGCCCATAACTTGTTACTGTAGAGATCAGTTTCACAGAGACATTTAAAAATAGACCTATCCCATTAGCACCACTGTATGAAATATGGGTTGAACTATTTTCAATAGCAGTAGTGTACCCATGCACACAGGAAAATGTATTTTATTACTAATGACACTGTTATAAATCAAACATCCCATGATGTGTCTACTCCCTGTTCAGTGGTTCTCCAGATGTTGGCATAGTGGTGACTCATGTTCTACTCTTTAAGAATTTGATATTAAAGAACTCAAAATCAACAGAATAGGTAGGAAATTACATCCTGAAGAGAGCTGGAATAAGTTCTAGTTCAAACTTCTGTGTCAGAAGATCTGCTGGTAGTGGTAAGGGTCTACAGCACTCTGGTTACCTCTTAGCTGTAGATGAAGTCTGTTCAAAGTAGTGACTGAAAACAGTCTGCTAATCTCCTATTTCCAAGCAAAAAAGTTCAAAACTCCTACAAAGAGATTTTCAGGCAGTAAAAAAAATATTAATTGACATTAATTAATTGAAAATGAAATTTGTGACATCGTGTTGTTTAATGCGTAACTGTGAACTTGAATGTGGAGGCTCTATCTACATTGCTGTATAGTAGCAGCTGCTTGACTTAGAATTCCTGACTGGTGGCTCCTTACACTTCACTTACATTAAATTTCACTGACATGATCTGTCAGCAAATATGTGGAACACTCCTTTAACATCCCTGGAGTATGTGGTTTAGGTTTTTTTGTTGTTTCTAGTACAATAAGTATTTCTTCTCATGTTTTTGCATTGTCCTTACAGGCATCATTTATAAAAACTGCCAATGTACGATATTGTATCTGGGGTTCAAGGTTTGCAGCTATGTTAAATTTGACAGACATCAGTTTATGCATGTGAAATACTTGCAACAAATGAAAAGTTCTGAGGAATTGTCAACACTATTGATTTTTTTGTCAGATAGTCTACATGGGCTGGACAGAAGAACGGGAACAAGACTCCCTTCAGGACCGAATGTACACACCAAAGTTTCTAGCACTGAGGGGATCTTCCCTGTATAAATTTATAGCACCTCCAGTAAGTATGCTTCTTATGCTTAGTTGGAATAAATTTTATTAAATAAAATAATGTCATGTAATGTGTACAAGTCTTTCACAGTGAGATACCACTCATTGGGCTAGCAGGACTGTAACTAACAGCATTGAAGAGTTCTAGAGTGTGTGGTATAGAAGTGGGAGGAAACAGCTCTTCCTCAGATGATTTGGTATCTAGCAAGAACTTACTTTCCCACGCTTCAATGAACGCTTAAAAAAATAAAAGAGAAATCTGCTCATGTTTAAAAGGAGCTTTTAATTTTCTTTTGGCAGACAGAACAGGCCCAAAGCAACATGGTTAGATTTAAACTGAACAATCATTCTAGAGAAACTGCTGAGATTTGGAAATATCAAAGCTTTTTACATGCTGTAGAGATGGCAATATGTCTCTATTTAGATTCCCTCCTGAATGTAAGTTTTTGCTGCTTGAGAGCACCGAAAGGAAGGTAGGGAATCAAATGAAATTGTTTAAGTTAAATATATTAATTGGATTCTCACTGGGAACACCAGAGAAAATTTTAGCGCTTGTTTTATACTCAGCAATTTGCTTTCACTGTCTTATGGTACATCTAAGATGCAGTAAAGATCCTCTAGCTAACTTTTAAGCCAGTTGCTAAGGAGACAGTAGCAGTCCCATCCATGCCTGCAGCAGGAAGAGTCATGTGAATTAATTTGTCCTCTTTATTGGGTGACCTTTCTGACTGCGGCTACACCCTGTGTTTGTCAGATCCAGGCTGTAGCTCCTTCCTGCCTGAAAAAGAATCATAAAATAGTTTGGGTTGAAAGGGAGCTTTAAAGGTCACCTGGTCCAACCTCCTTACAGCAAGCAGGGACGCCTTCAGCTGCGGCAGGTTGCCTGTCTAACCTGGTCTTGAATGTTTTCAGAGGTGGGGCATCTACCACCTCTTGGGGCAATATCTTCCTGAGGTAGCTCAAAGTCATCTTTCAAATCTTTAGATTGATCATCACTAACTGTTGGTGTTCATTTAGCAAACAGTTTAAAAACATGTGAAAGACATGGGGAAGGGAAGGAAGTATGAACTGGAAACCTCATGTGTTCAATGTTTGTAGAGTAGTTCATGGGTGTGGGATTAATCAGGTCTATTAATTAATTTTTCAGTGTCCGATTAAAACATCAGATTAATGCTAACAAGCACCTTAATTCAAAAACATCTCTTCTGTCTTTGCCAGACCTACTTAAGCGTTTGCTGCCTGTCAAGTAAAACCAACTCCATTCTGGGTACTAGATAGAATGAGAATCAATGATGAGAAATCCTTTTCAATACCCAAGAGGAATATTATTCTTTTCTAAGAACTATGGAAGAGACCACAAACCTCTTTACTGAAGAATCATAAATTTATAGTAATAATATACTTGTAGGGGGTAAATGTCTGATGGGGGGTGAAAAATGGGTGTGAAAGGAACATGTTCATATGAAGAGTCTGAACCATGGTAACATGAGTAAGGAAGATCTTGGCAAGCTGCTATTGTATAAGACAAGAAATTCATCCTCAAGTTTTTATAGCTCTTGTCTCAGCTTAGCTGCAAGGACAAAATGAATTCATATTGCCAGATTCTGATTCCCAGTCTAAAATAGAAAAACTGTTCAAATGCAGAGAAAAATATTTTCTCTTCATGGAGTAGGAGGGAAGCAGAATGATAAGCATGCTTTTTTAGGACAGAGCTCTTACAGAGCTGCCTTAAAGACATAGAATCATAGAATGTTTATGTTAGAAAGACCTTAAAGTTCATCCAGTTCCAACATGTAATGTATATAATAATTTCACACTTCTAAAATCCTATTTTCTGTATCCAGACTTTTACACATATAGTTAAATTTGCTATTCTGAAGATTTGTCTCTTCCAGGGATTAGAAAATATGAACAATATTTCAATGACAGTTTCAGAGCTTCTTTTTAGGAGATGTATAAAGTGTAGTTAAAATAAAAACTGTTTTAATTGTATGTGCAGTATAAACTGCTTGGACAAAGTTGTTTTCTGAAAAGAGATGTCCTACAAACTTTCTTAACCAGAAAATCAAACAAAAGTATTTGCCCAGTCTCTACCAAAGACTAACACATTAGGGAAGCATGTGTTTAAATGATGTCTATCAACAGCCCTGCCTCTTTTTTTATCTTTTTGATCAATAGTACTTCTATTTCCCATGCTCAGATAAAAAGAGCAATCCTAGTGTTTCTTATTTTCGTCTTGAAATTTTTAAAGAAAATTACTTCTTTATTATTATTTTTTTATATTATTTAGTGGCACATTTCCTTCTTTAGAATTATTCATTCTGTCAGCTCTGGTGGTTTTCAGTTTCTTCCAATTTATAATTGGAAATTTACTTGAGAAAGAGCCACTAACATCCTTTCTTTTACTACTTAATATTTCAAATTAAAACATTAAAAGTGAAGGGTGCAGCAATTCTCTGTGGGTGTTTTAATTCTACAATTGCTTTTGTTTTGCACATATCTTTGTACAGAAGCAGTTTTGGTTTGACCTGAAAAGAAGTCCCTTTACAGTTACAAACAAAATCAGGAAACCAGGGGAGAAGAGGGAGCTCTTATATTTCCCCCCAAAGTATGGAGCCTATAGTAAATTTTTAAACATAGCTCCAAATGACTTTCTGCTTCAGGAGCAATAATAATGACTTTTCCTCATGGCACAATAGGACTTCATCTGGTGTGACTGGGTGTTGTGGGCTCAGTGGGGCTGTAGCAAGGCTCCTCTCCTCATTTTTTTCTGTTCATGGTGAAAAATTTAACTTTTTGTCCATAGGAGAAAGAGTAGCTTTGTGATTTAATACCCACAGTTCAATAAGATAGTGAAGACTACATTTCACTATGACTACAAGTAAAGAAAATTCTAACAGAAGAGGAACTATAGCACTGTGTTTTTGAACTTTTCATTCATGCCTGTGATTTCCTTAAAGGACTTTCCATTACACCAATGTTTATAACTAAAAATTAGTTAGATATAGAATTTTATCATACAACATCAAAATAATTTTGATCTATGATTACTTTCTCTTTAAATAAGAAATAAATTGATTTCAGATAATATTTTGTTCTTTGGGCTCTAGAATATATTTTATCGAAAATTTTTCAAAAAGTTTATCCGGAATTTGATAGAAGCAGTATTGTATGTTTTCATCAACCTTTTCATTGTGTCTAACAAATTCAATGATACAGCTTTCTTCCTTTAGATATAGGCCATTGTCCAAAGTTTCTTACCATTAAGATAATTATTCATTCATTTATATCCTCAATTTAATTCTATTTTGTGCCTTCTTCTATATTTTAATATTTTCCTATTTTTTGCTTGCATTTTCCTTGGAAATTTATACACTGTTCTGATATTGCCTTAACTCTTCCCTTAGTGAATATATTCATCTATCCCTTTCTGTCTCATTTAAGTCTTAACACCTACTCTTCCATGATCTAATTTCATTCTTTCATATATGCATTTTTCTGTGTAAAACAGTTGCCTAAAATGAATACAGTTAAAAACAGTTGCCTAAAATGAATACTGTTAAAAACAGTTGTGAAATCCCAAAACAAAGAGGAAAAAAAATAGACTATTCTTCAAATCTTAGTTTGTTAGAATTTAGGAGTATATATAATGTCGTTTCATGCTTGGTTTTTTTTTTTTCCCCTTGGATCCCCCTGGTAAGTGTCTGGGACATTGGAAGGTTGGACACTGTTTTTATGGATTTGCAAATGCTGTCGGTGATCGGCAGCAAATAGTGGCACGCAGTTACAAGGAAGAAAGTGATGAGAAGCATGTTTTCTAACAGGCAGGGCCCTGGCTCTGTGAGATAAAAATTCAAGGGCTGCATCCTCTCAGGATCTCACTGCAGCCCCTGCAAGTACCCAGGGGAAGTATCCTCATTTTGCATAGAGCAGGCTGCATGCAAAGGAACTGCATTGTAAAGACAGGGAGGACATCTCCTAAGCGTTGCCTGGATGGAACAGTCTGGTCCTTGCTAGTTGTTGCTTTGAGGCAGTGTTTGGTCTTTCTGAATATATTTTAATCAATGTAAATAGTTTAGGGATTTTTTTTTTGCTAGTAATTATTAAAAACCAACAAAAATAACTTAATTTCTTTTTCTGTTTGTTTTGTGTTTTGTTTGTTTTTTAAAGGTCACAACCTGGGATTGGACACGAGCTGAGAAAACCTTTTCAGTTTATGAGATAATGTGCAAAATTCTCAAGGTATGATAAGAAAGTATAAAATAAATTGCCACTTTGACAGACAAAAGCATAACACTAACTACCTTGCAGAAAGAGATCTATTTTTTTTCCCTTTAAAGTCAAATATAAGAAGTTCTGGTGTCAGTAGGTACAGAATCAAACTAGAAGTTATGGCAAAATTGGAAGTAAACTTATTTTGACTAGGAAACAACCTTATTTCTCCATTTGCTGTATGGGGTTTACAGTTTCACTTTAATGTCACATTTAACTAGTGTAAAATTTCCTTTTCTAACTGAGGACCTAAAGAAGCAGTGATCGGTTTGGTTGTTTTCAAATATGTTGATGGAACTAGTAGCAGCTGCAACGTATGATTTCACTAGGACAAAATATGCAATACCCTTCTGAAAACTTTTTAATATTTTTTCCATTTTCTTCACTCTGTCTGAAGTGTAATAAATGAGAAGAGATAATGATACATGTTTAGAAAGCTAAAATTATGAGTAGCAAGTTAAATAAGACCATTATCGTATATTGTTTCCAATTTTTAATTGTGAATTCAATCAGAATTCTTTTGTATAGTCTTTTCTCTGTTTTAAAAACAGTGAAAAACAGATGCTCAAAATTTCTCAAATGAGAAGGAAAAGAGATGCATTTTTCTATTCATGTGAAATGCTTTCTGGTTTATGTTGGTTTTGGGGATTTTTTTGGTCCAAATTACATAAAAGGTAATTTTAACATTTCTATAATTTTATCTAGGCAGAGACAGACTAGTATCAACAAGAAATATGAAAATACAATGCTTTTTAAAAGTGTTTTCCACTGGGAAGACCTTTTACTGACGTAAATGGTACATTTCTTAGATTTGTAGGTCACATAGGTGCACTATATTTTCCTTAGAGAGGTAGATTAAAGTTGCAGTGGCTCAATAAAATTTGGAAACTTTTTGCACTTGAGACTTAAAAAAAAAAAATAAAAAAAAAAATAAAAAAAAACACCTCACAAAAAAAAAGAGAAAAAATCCCAGCAAATTTATAGTCTGAAAAAATCCTCTTTGCTAGCGATCTGAACAGAGAAGTGAACAGTTTTCTTTTACTGCTATGTTGGCTGTGAGGTCTGGAGTCTCCATCAAGGAGTAGAACCTCCCAAACACAAAACATCCCATCCCTGTGGGATGTCCTTCAATTACCAAGTGTGTGCAAATATTGGCTCCCTAGCAGTGCTCATGTAGGAAGAGGAGGAACAGGACAAGTTGTACATAGTAAAGGCACTGAGGGTGTAAGTGAGCAATGCTCTAAGAACACAGTCAGGCTTTGATAGAGTTGAAAAATATAATTTCTTACATGCACTTTTTTCCCCATTCCCTTTGGTAACCTCTGAATCCTTCAGGCTTTGGGCTTAATGCTATAAGCATCAAGGTTCTTTGTCAGAGAACTAAGTGCTTTGGAGCCAAGATGACTCCTCCTTATGACTTATCCAAAGATTTTTTCATACTCTTTGAATAGAAATTTATGGAATTTGTGCCATATCATTTTCTGTAATTTACAGGTCCTTCTTCTTTTCTTTTAGCCATTTGCCGTTGTTGATGGTCTTAATTCACTTGCAATTTTTGCCATTTTTCTTTTCCCCCCCTTTGTTCTGTGTCTCCTATTATTGTATATCAATACATTAGCTTTTTGGTTTGTTTTTGTTTCTCAGCCATGTAGCAGAAGTTATTACAGCCAAGGAGACAGTCCACAAACCAGTAAAAACTAAACCAGTGCCTTTCTGGCACTGTTGTGTGGAAGCACAGAAAAGAGTACAAATATGCTGGAGTTTTTTTATCATCCAGCCATCCAAACTGTCTGAGAAGAGGTGTAGATTTTCTAGCCTCATTCTATATTAACACAGAGGCAATTCCAGCATAAGTAATTTAAGAATATAATTTATGTGTTTCTTTATAACTTCATTCATATTCAGTTGTGTGTTTTCTGTAAATATGGTCAGGCTTATAAAATGCTGAAATGTTTCAAGCAGGTTCTTTAGCTGACAAAAACCTGTAAATAATAAAAACTGCAAGTGGGAAAATCGTTGCAATGGAATTGCAGCTTCTGACATTGGACCATTAATCTTCACCATATTCTAGTTTTCTACAGCAGTTGCTATAGAACTTAACTATGGTTTCACTAAATATAAAAGCAAATAAAACCAAGAAAAACAGCTTCCCATTACACTACTACATTGAACATCTGTAGAAACTCAAGGTTTGTTCAGCTTTTATGCCAGCATCTTAAAAGTCTCCATTTAAGCAATGAGTGGTTTTTAGACCCATTTGAACAAGCCCCATGGATATTACTGAACCAGAGGCCACGTAAAAAAAAAAAAAAAGTTACTCTGGTGTTTTGTGATCACCTTCAACCTTCTTCTCTTTTATAGTACCTCAAATGCTACTTTTGTTATAAATCTATTTGACTTGGAGAATGACACAGGTTTTCTGGCTAATATTCACTTCAAGTAGAAGGACTTGCAAGTAGGCTGTGCTAACCCCTGTATGAGTTAGCTCAGGAGTGAGAAGTAGTGCTTTAGTTAAGTGTTACCACATCATTTACCAAGCAAAGTGTATCTGTATTGCATGGCTTGCTTGCATTTGAATGAGATATTAAAAACAAAAAAATGTCCATATTCAGACTTACATTCATTAGGATGCAACTGTCATCCAAGGTAGTTGGTAATTTCTCCTGTGTATACTGGCAATTTCAATAACTGTCCTCGTGCCACAGATAGGATTTTACTTAATATGTCTGTAATTATTTTTTCTCCATTTTCCACTCCTTAATTGTGACTGAAATTCTGATGAACTTCACAAGAACAGTCTGGATTTGAGAGACTTACTACCCAAAGTGTATCTTTTTAAATAGAATTGTCATTTTCCTCAGTTTGAGAGACTTCTCTAAGTTTCTCTTCATGAAAGCACTACAGTGGAGAATATGAGTTCCCAGATCCTACAGAATGCATACTGATTGCCTATTTTAGTGTTTCAGGATGATTAATTCCTCTTCTGGTAACAGTAGAAATATTAAACAGTAAATAAATATTAATGTCGACACAATACTTAAGTATTGTGCAAAGTACTTAACTGATTTAATCTTCAGAAAGAGTATATAGTCAAAAAGTGTTAAGTAAAACCCAAAACTTGGCTGCCACCATGACCAAAGTTTTCTTTATATTTACTTGCATGTGTTTAGTGTTCTTTTTTTCCTCTAGTATCCCTTCCAAGGCTCTGATTCCTTTCACAAACAATATAGAAGACTGGGATGCCATTTTCAATTGTCACAGTTGACTTAGTCTGAAGCAGCTAAAAGGCAGAATGTTCTGCACCTTATTCAGAGATGTCAGAGATTATTATGTGATTTATAGCTAGTGAATTCATATTTATAATGCTCATCAATAAATAAATCACTATTTTGCTGTAACTGTATAGTTTTTTCTTTTATTTTCTGGATCAGATTACAAAGAAAAGGAAGCAGAAGCAAGGCATTAAGTCTCTATTCTAATTTGATTAGGACCTTCTAAATGACCAGGAAGACTCTTAAAACTTGAAGCATAAAAATATACTTTAAAAAGCAGTCTTTTCATTGTGTGAAAAACAGTTTTATTGAAAGAAATTTAGCAAAATGTTGTTGATCCCCTAATTCAGTATTTAAAATTTTATATAGTAAAGAAAGAGAAAAAAACCCCAAACCCTCATAACCACTTTCATACACTACTGTAACAATAATGTAATATAAAAAATATTCTATATAAAGTTTACAAACTACCAGATAAAACCACATATCACATAAATATGAAGCTCTTAATTGTCAAGATTTTGGGGATGAAATAATATTTATTGACATGAAACCTAGGTAAAGCTGGCTGAGTACAAAAATCACATTTTAATTTAATTGGTTTAAATTATTAATTGTGAAATAATGGCAAACAGCAGTGGGCTGTGTTTGATGTAAAAGGAGCATTTATAGAGATGCAAATAACTTAAGACCTGGGGGGGTAAATGCATAAATTGGTAAGCATATGAAGTAATTTATTAAAAATTCAATAGATCTGTTTATTAAGGGGTGGAAGCAGAGAGAAAATAAGGCACTGAAGAGCTTTTTAACCTTAAAAAATAAGCAAGTAAAAAGAAAGTAAGTAGAAATCAAAGTGAGGCGAGTTAAAATGGCAAAGAAGGCAAGAACTGTAAAAGCTGTGCTTATTAGTCAGTGAAAGAAGTTGATACCATTTAAATCACTTCAACCAGTACCACACCATGTGAACCAGTAAGAAGTTGATAAATTTAAACCCCCTTTTTTTTTTTTTTTTTTTTTTCTTTTTTTTTTTTTTTTTTAAGTATAAATTTATTCAGACTAATGCTAATGGGACAGTGACACCACCAGCATGTGGATGAAAATCTGAAAATCTGTGGTCCATGTTAAAAAATTTTTCAGGCAAGATAATTTAATGATACCGCTTTTGACATTAAAATGTATCTATGAGTCATTTTCAATAGAACTGCTGGAAGAATTTGCTGTCAATAAATATTTCTAATTTGTTCTCCCAGAAGCTTGCTTTGCCTTATCGTTTATTTTGGGGAGTAAAGCCCCTTTAACAGCCAACTACTTTTAATGTTGCAATTGAACAATATTCAATATTCCATAAAAGCAGGTAATTCTATCACTAACTTCAGAAAGGCAGGGGGCCTTATCATGTTCAGTATTTCCAATCTGATTTAACTGAATATGTCTTTTTGGTACCTCTTGATACACAGTTTTAACATGAGTGTTTTGAGAGTGTGTACATTTGTAAGTGTGTATAATTGAACAAGATTTAAGTATCTTAAATAAATTTGTAAATAGCTTAAATATTTAAACATTTTTTCCATATAGGGGTAGAAAAAAGTTTGTTACATATTTCAGATAAATTATGAAGAATAGCATAAGAAATTGCACTTCTCTGTCCTTTTTGTTCAGTTACTTATGTTCTTCAGCTCATCCAAACATCTCCTTGTA